TGATTCGATGATTCTTGGCAGCCTCTGTGTTTCAGTAGGGCTAACAGCACTTCTAATTCTTGTTCTCCTCTCTTTCCTCCTCTAGAAAAGCATTCTAATTTCTTGTCCTCACGAAAATGTGTCCACAAAGTTCCTGGCCCCGTACACAACTTTTTGTAGAATTCATCAGAAAAGTGTAAGTAACTTGGCAAAGTGAGTGGGAAATAACCAGAAGCAACTGTGAACTTTCACAACGTGTCTCTTGACTGTTGCGTGCTCATTCAGAGGGGTGGCCTGCGGCATGACTTTGTGTGTGAACTGGGTAACAAAACACATCAGATCATAAAAACTTGGAAAACTTGATCATGGTTAAGTTTACCCCCAAAAAATACTCTCTCAAATTCTTTAGACTGTTTTCTTGCAAGCGGTCTAATTTCTGCTCACTTCAGGCCCATGACAGATCACCATGTAAAGGGATAAGATGTGTGAATTGGGGTGTCAGAAAACAAGGTAAAAAATAAAAGGTTCCAGGCACTGAGCTCTTCATCTCTGACTGGTTCATATCTGTCCCCAGTTTGTAGTGGCTGTTTGCTCCTGCATAACGAAGCTGCCTGGTTTTGATATTTGCTGTATCGATTTCTGTTTGCGGGGCTGGGAATCCAGTGTTGTTTAAATTCCTCTTGACCTGGTGGAGATTCAGACGCTAGAAAGGCCCAGCTTGTATTTAAAAAAATAAATAAATCGCACGAACTTCTCGCTTATTTAAAAGCAGTCCTGCTCGTTCTGCTGAATAATCTTCTTTCTTATTGTACCCCTGTCAATCGGGGGGTGCAACAAGTACGGCTTCTCCCTGAACAGTGATACAGAAAGGCTGACTCTGACTTGAAGTTTCATTTCCTCACTGAAGAGAAGCACATAACTTGGCTTTGCTGGCAAGTAGTCTGTGCTTTTCCTGAACACTTAACCCTCCGTGGAAAGGATCCAAGAAACTAGGGAGTGTGTAGCCTGCAGGTACAGCCGGCTGCCCTTAAAGGGAGTCCCCTGAAAGCTCCTGGAGATGTTTTAGTACGCTTGTCTCGTGATTTATTAAGTAAATTGTTGTGATAAACCCAGGCGAAAATGCTGGAAAGCTGAAAAGTCAGTCTCTAGTAACGAAGCTCAAAAGCAGTATAAATCAAGGTGCGTTTTGACATAAAGGCAATTCCGCATCTCTACAGCTGTTTTTAGAGGAAGCGTGGCTCTGCTGAGAGATGGAGCTTGGCAGTAAGGCAGCTCCGGAGACAGAGGTGAATCGCTTCTCTGAGCTTTGTGCTACTTAAGAGTCCCCAGCTGCCCTTTTGTGTGATAAATGGAATCGACATTCAAAGCACAGCAAAATGGAAATGCAGGCGTAAGTGTTTAGTCTGCTGTCAAACGGCTGTGAGGGCTTACAGCTGCACTGCAGAGCTCTCCTCTGGAAAGCAGCTGAAGCAATATCTATTAATATGTAGATAAGTTTAAAGCCGGTGTGGACTAAGCTCCTGTTAGCCTTTTTACCTCCTGCCTCTTATTCTGAGCACTCATGCTGGGCCTTGCCTGTTTACATATCTCTCCTGAAAGTTTGGGGATATGTTGAACGTCAGTGAGGCGTTTTGTTCCCGCTTGAATGACCTTCACAGGCTGCTTTTTTAACTAGGCAGCAAATTACCACAGATTGGTTTGTTATATGAAATGTCACTCATGTTACCAATGTATTTCTTGTGTTACCAATATGTGAGTAAATGTACCTAATGGCTGTTGTAACAGCTAAACCGTTATCTTGTGCGCTTATTTAAATCTTTTCATTCCTGTTTTAACTCCCAATTATTTTTTTTTTCAAGTGGAGGTTGAGTATTGATCCTGCACCCTGTTAAAATTAGCTGTGGTTTGAGCTGTTGGAGCTTTTCAGGAGAGCAGGTTGGTCTGACTCTTGCCTAGGTAGGAGAATTTGTGACTCAAGTATGGCATATCGTGTCCCCACAAGCCCTGGCTGCTGCACGTGCAGCAAAAGGACGCCATAGGATGTCCTCCTGGAACATCTGGAAACAGCTGCAGATTGATGCAGCTCTGTCATCTTCAACAGTGACCTAGACAGTGGGATTGAGTGCGCCCTCAGCAAGTTTGCAGATGACACCAAGCTGAGTGGTGCGGTTGACACGCCAGAAGGACGAGATGTCACCCAAAGGGACCTGGACAAGCTGGAGAGGTGGGCCTGTGTGAACCTCATGAGGTTCAACAAGGCCAAGTACAGGGTCCTGCACCTGGGACGGGGCAACCCCTGGTATCAGTACAGGCTGGGGGATGAAGAGATTGAGAGCAGCCCTGCCAAGAAGGACTTGGGGGTGCTGGGGGATGAAAAGCTGGACATGAGCTGGCAATGTGCGCTGGCAGCCCAGAAAGCCAACCCCATCCTGGGCTGCATCCCCAGCAGCGTGGCCAGCGGGGCAAGGGAATATTCATCTAGACTTAATCTCATCCTTAGCCCAGGAGATTAAGAGGGGGCCTCAGCACAAGAAGGACATGGACCTGTTGGAGCAGGTCCAGAGGAGGCCACCAAAATGATGCGAGGGCTGGAGCCCCTCTGCTCCGAGGCCAGGCTGGGGGAGTTGGGGTTGTTCAGCCTGGAGAAGAGAAGGCTGCGGGGAGACCTTAGTGCGGCCTTTCAGCGCTGAAAGGGGGCTGATACGAAGAAAGATGAGGAGAATCTTTTTAGCAAGGCCTGTTGTGACAGGACCAAGGAGTAATGGATTTAAACTAAAGAAGAATAGATTTAGACTGGATATGAGGAAGAAATGTTTTACACTGAGGGTGGTGAGGCACTGGCACAGGTTGCCCAGAGAGGTGGTCGATGCCCCATCCCTGGAAACATCCCAGGCCAGGTTGGACGGGGCTCTGAGCACCCTGGTCTGGTTGAGGATGTCCCTGCTCACTGCAGGGGGTTGGGCTGGATGATCTCTAAAGGTCCCTTCCAACCCAAAGCATTCTATGATTTTGTGTTACGTACTTGGTCTGCCCAAGGGCATCGTCTTTAGATCTCGGGCCTCTAGCTGTCATCTTTCTTGGCAAAGTCAATCTGCTTGTATCTTTGGGTTTCCCTGTGAACGTGGTAGTAAATCCAACTGACTCTTCAGGCCGGCTGCTGGCTAAGGCTGAGCACGTGCAAGAGGATCGCCAAAGCCCAGTCCTCTTTGAGAGCAGTTCATTGTTCAGAAAAACATTTAATCTGAAGCCTGGGATGAAGATGAGCAGGCTCATCCTTCCATACCTGACCAGGTGGTTGGGACCTGCAAGCGCACTGACGGACTGTGCAAGTTAAGACTGGAAACTTTGCTTTGTCATTGTGCTGAGGGGTTGGAACAGTAATGGAACTGTGATTTGCATTTCTCATTTCTGTCAGCGGTTTTTGCCACTGAAGTACTTTCTTCTAATCCATGGAGTGCAAATACAATTATGAGGAAGCTTTTGGAGGTGATACAGCATGACTCCAGTATCCAAATCTTGCAAGACAAGGCAGCTATTCCACTACGTAGTTGTGATAATTTTATTGGTTTTTTTCCAGAATGCAACACCAGTGTTTCTAACAAGATCTATATTGTTGGTTTTTCAGCCTGTTTAGTGTTGCTGCAATCTATATTGGAAATATCTGTCACTTGGAAGATGTAATCATTTCTTTCAAGGCTAGAATACCCGCTACCTTATTTCACGCACAACTGAAATACATCTACCTTTCCCAAATGGCGGCAATAATGTTGGCAGCACAGGAAAGGCTGCCCTTTTACAAGAACAGAAGCCCAACATCTGCTCTCTTCAAAAGTATTCAGCTTTCCTGGTATTTATGCAAAGCAGGCAGTTGTTAATACCTTAGCGTGACAGACTGTGCGAGGAGTTAGCCTGCCTGCAGAAGGAACTAGTTTTGAGTCAGTGTTTCAGAAAATTCAGGCCGTGCCGTTGGCTTCATAAATATCTCGAACGATGTCTTGAGGGCTTGTGAGTCAGGGTGCTCTCAAGCTGGCCACTTATCTCGGGCTAGCGCAGAACGGCTTGGTGCAATTTCTTATCTGTGTACAGGAGCTGCTAGAAAAAAAATCCAGATTTCTGCTTCACCTGGGGTAAAGCTGATATACAACTGCTGTCTGTGCAGGCTTCTGACTCAGCATTTCTTTTTCTCCTCGCTTTGCGGATCTCTGCAGAGTCACAGGCAGAGAATAACAATTTCTCGTGGCAATTACAAGAAAACTGGGGTGCTTTGTGCCAGGTTTCAGTCACCCAACTTGTCTGAGCCCTGGCTGCGGGTCAGCCCAGATCAGCAGCTCGCTTTTGAAGGAGGAACGCAGCCATCTGTGTAAACAGATACATTGAGAAGAATTTCTTTTTATGCTGCCCTTGTCCTCTAGAAAAACCCTGCTGTTCAGGATCCACTTGTCTTTTGATTTCTTAAGGGCTTAATTAATATCTCATAAAACATGTTGAGAGGGTGAGGCGAGAAAGCCTGTGAAGTCCTTGCTTAAATGTTAGGATGTTATCAGGTTGAAACTGTTTAGCTAGGAGTATGGAAGCTCTTTCGGGTGTTTTATCTCCCCAAGACATATTGCTGGACTCATTTAGTAGTGCTGAATGATGTACTTAAGTCTCCCCCAGTACAGAGTTAAGCTCTTGAGCAGAAATACCTATATACAGGGTCATATAAAGCTAACGTTTGGTGTTTTTACCCTCCGGCAGATTACCTGTCTTGATATTTCCAGTGGCGGTGGGCTTGGCGTGTCTACCAGCACAGATGGGACCATGAAAATCTGGCAGGCTGCGAATGGAGAAATAAGAGTAAGAGCGTCTAGCTTTGATGTTGTGTGTTGGCTGTGACATTACTGAAGTCATTCGGCTGTGACTTGGGTCAGGCTGTCCGCACGCTGTGGTCTAGGGCAGGCAAGGATCTGACTTTTTGATTGAAAAGCTAATTGAAACTTGATGTCTCGGAGGTTTTAAGTCAAATCTGTTGGAAAGCGCGACTTCTCCCAAGGGAAATGATGCTCAGCAATCCAGAGAGGAGTCCCAGGGTGAAAATGAGAATGGGTAATTAGGAATGACAGCTAGAGTGCAGAAGGTAACCGACAGCTCCTAACCTGCATGGTGCAAGCACTGAATTTCTTCTGCAGTAGAGAAGAGGTGAGGGGAAAAAAGACTCCTGCCCGTGATGGATTAACCATATCATGGCTAGCTGCCTTCCCAGTTAAGGTGTTTCTAGTGGAGCTTGACCTGTCGGCTGCTCGTTTGGCAGAGGATAAAGACATTTAAGCTGTTACTAGAAACAAATGTAGTATCCTTTGCTATGTAATTAGCTGCTCAAATGGAAGAGAGAGGCCCAAAGTGTACCTGCTACCTCCTTGACTGCCTCGAATTCAGACGAGTCTGTTGCAGGAACGCAAACCCAGAGGAAATGAGCTTAATCCTCTGCCTACATGGGAACACCAAATTTTCCAGTGTCATAGCTCAAAAATTGCTTGGCATAAGGGTGATAACAATGGAACTAGCATGTAGTTCTTTGTTTTTCCAGAGACTATTGGAAGGCCATGTGTATGATGTGAATTGTTGCAGGTTTTTCCCATCGGGCCTCGTGGTTCTGAGTGGGGGAATGGATGCCCAGCTAAAGATCTGGTCAGCAGAAGATGCCAGCTGCGTAGTAACATTTAAAGGTCACAAAGGAGGTACAGAGTACTCAGCCTTTAAAATGCTTGATCTGCCGTGTGTATAATTGTGTTGTACCCCAGGACTAAAGTCCAGTCACCAGCCTGCTGCGCTCTGTGCTGTGCATTTGTATCAGATGTCCGGAGTATCTTTTTCAAGCTCCCAGAACTTGCATAAAAAGATCAGTAGTTGCTAGGTTTCTCTCACTGACCTATGTTTTCTTCATTAATTAAGGTAAAAAGAGGGAGGGTGCAGTCCATTAGCCTGTTGTGAGTGCCAGAGATAGAGGTAGAGGGAATTCTGCTCGTCCAGGGCAGTCTCGGTGCTCCAGAGCTGCGTTCAGTAGCCTTGCTGCCTGCACTGGGAATGCCTCCTGCTTGCACCCGCATCATCCCCTCACCTCCAGTTGCTCCAGAGCCTCTTCCTTTTGTTTGTTTTTTCCTTGCCCAGAGAAGCATAAAGCAGTTTATTGTGGACTTCCAGAACTCAGGCAGGCAGTTACCTGCTGTTGAAAATGAGTAAGGCACAGCGAGAGCAGCTGCAAGGATACTTAAGTGATTTTCTTAAGGAGGGCTGGAATAAGCTCGTTCACCCTTGTACTGAGGGCACATGTTCAGCTCTGCCACCGCTGAAAAAGAGTAAATTCCTCACCCTCCTTATGTCCTCACGTAGAGGTTGCGCTGGCCACCTTATGTGGCGAGTTGAATGCCATTCCTTGCGTTCGGGTTCCACACTACAAACTCCTCCAGTTGACACTGTCTTAGTCCCAGGGCAGAACTGCAAGGGATGGAAAATGTGCTACCCAGAAAGGCTTCCGAGAGCTGTGATCAAAGCAAGTTTCTGGAAAGAGCCTCTGTTAATCTCTGGAAAGAAGGTTTGGTTTCCAGGACCCCTTGTTCAGAAGCAGCGTGGATTTATACGTAATGCTTAAGCAGGCTCCCGTTTTACTCCTGTTTACACCTGGCCCGGAGCGCAGTGGCCAGCGGTGCTGTCTTGTCACTGTGATTGCCAGGGATGCCAACTTGAACGCTTGGGTGACACGTGAGCAAGTCTGAGTGAGTTGTGGCTGTGGCATCAGACACCCAAAACCCTGCCCCAAATTATCTCCCCCTGAGCAACTAACTGCTCTGTATGGTCTCTTGTTTCTCCCTGTCTCACAAGGTGCAAAGCTTTATTGAAACAGTTAATAAGCCACGTGGCTGGCTGCTCAAAACTTGATTAACTCAGAAACTTGCCTCGCACTGAACCTGCCATTGTTTTCATATGATCTATTTGTGTGGTTTCGAAATATTTGCTGCAAACGTCCTGTAAACAAAATGCGGCAGGTGGTGTAACAGCTTTGGTCAGAACAATGCTGGCTGGCTCCCAGGGGCTCTGAAGTTGAATTTATTCCCTGCTTATAACTCCAGCCCAAGCTGCTGCAGTCAGTTTGCTTGGCTTGTCCTGTCATTTGAGCTTGCTGTGTTTAGTTGCTTCTGTAGGGGAAGTATCTTGTGGAGGGAAAGTATCAATTCAATCTTCTAACCGTCTGACTGTTCCCTTCCAAAAAAACACTGCATCATTTTTCAGATCTAGACTCAACAGCCCACAGTGAAATAAAAGTTGCTGGGGGACATTGGCACCTGCAAAAACTGCTCTTTTGGTGTTGCTGTAGCTGGATAATGTGGATGCTGCTTGCCCCACGCAACTTTGGGGATTATCTGGAGCTGGCAATGTTCTAAGAGTGCTGGGCCAGGCTATTTTCTGCCCAAGTTAGAGGTTAATTATGGAGGTGGAAACTCAGCCGCAGCTGCGGTATCAGCTCAGTTTGAGGCGAGGTTTTGCCGATCCTGTTATTGGTAATATAGAATCATAGAATCATTTAGGTTGGAAAAGACCTTTAAGATCATCCAGTCCAACCATTAACCTAACACTACCAAGTCCACTACTAAACCAATTCAGGGTAGAGTAGCAACCCCACGCCTCCTGGCTTGGTGGCTGGATCATTTATAATGACAGTAAAAACTAGGAATCAGTAAGATTGGAAAGGATCTCTAAGACCATCAGTCCAACCATCAACCCAACACCATGCCCACTAAATCATGTCCCAAAGTGCCATGTCTGCACATTTATTTGAACACTTCCAGGGATGGGGACTCTACCCCCTCTCTGTGCAGCCTGTTCCAATGCTTGACTACCCTTTCTGTGAAGAAATTTTTCCCAATATCCAATCTAAACCTCCCCTGGCGCAGCTTGAGCCCATTTCCTCTTGTCCTATCGTTATCTACTTGGGAGAAGAGACCAACACCCACCTCACTACAACCTCCTTTCCGGTAGTTGTAGAGAGTGTATCTTGCCTTTGTGCCAGGCGCTGGCGCCTGCTCTGTATGATTTGCTGGGAGCCCTTACCTTCCACGTACACCTCTTTCTAGATGCCATGGCTCCCTGCCTCGCATTGCACCCCACACAATTTGGCTGTGTGTGAGAGGTGGCACTCTGGGGACAGTGGCTTGGGGCTTGTAGTTGAGTTTGCCTTGGGAAATGAGATGCTTTGTGTGTCTGCCTTCCACGCTGTCTGTCTGAACACGGCCTTTGCTTTGACGCAGGTATTTTGGACACTGCCATTGTGGATCGGGGAAGAAATGTCCTTTCCTGCTCTAGAGACGGCACTGCCCGCCTCTGGGACTGTGGAAAATCTGCCTGTCTGGGTGTCATCGCTGACTGTGGCTCTCCTGTCAACGGCATCGCCGTGGGCACTGCTGACAACTCGCTGAACCTGGGCACACCTGAAAAAGCTCCTAGTAAGGATCTTTCTCTTAAAATTCATCTTAGTTCCCCTGTCCCAAGCTGCTTAGGTTTGTCACCGATAACCCTGAGCGTGTGGCATGCTGTTGCGTGCCCTCGTACCGCCTAGGGAAGGGAACGAGGGTCACCAGAATAGAGCACTCCAGTCCTGCAGAGGAATTGAGCCTTATCGAGTCATTTAAGTGATTAAGACTGGTGTCTCCTTGATTACTGGCCTGCCTTGCAGCATCTGGTGTCTTAGGGCGTGGAGGAATGCTGTTGTAGGGTCAGCAGGGGCAATCCAAACTGCCAGGTTTTGGTACCATCAAGACTTCTTGCGTATCTGCTGCTGGAATTAACCATTCTCCTTTTGTCAGGTGAGCGTGAGATTGGGACAGAAGGGAAAATCCTGCTGCTGGCTCGAGAAGACAAGAAGCTTCAAGGAGTTGGACTGCAGAGCAGGCAGCCGGTAAGGAGTCTGAGACTATCAGAAGTACTTCCCTGGGAGAGTGCTCTGTGATGCTGCTATAAAATCAGCTCCGAGGTGTCAGTCCTTTCATTTCCATTGCTGCTGCGGCAGCTCCTCGGTTTGTAAGCTGCCATTCACGTGGCTGTGCAGAGCGCTGGGCTGGGGAATTGAGACAGGTTAAAACTGACCTAGATGGGTGAACTGGTTGGTGTTAATCCTGTACCGTTCCCCTGGTGAGGTTCACCACATGGCACAGAAAGGGACAGAACCAGGCTGGAGGCAGGGGAGAGCTGATCTGCCTGCCTTTGGCCGAGGTCCTACACTGCAGTGTTCTCCCCCATGTGTTATTCCATGGAGGAAAGACTAAAACCTGGTACAATAAATGCTTCCTCTCCTTCCTACTGGCTAGATTTGTGTGCAGGGGTTTGAGGAGTATCAGTCGCTCAGGGGTTTAACTCAGGTCTGGGGAAGACTAATTTAAACAGTGGCCAGTAGATGTCATTGTGAAAGCAGGAGCTGCAGGCCATCTCATCCAGCCGAGGTGTAAAGTTGCTGTTTATTCTGGTTTAATTAGAGTGTCAAGGGGACCTCAGGTGGTCACCAGTCCATCTCCCTCCTCTTAGTAAAGGAAAATGGAGCTGGTAGATCTCAGGTACTGAAGATCTTATCAGGACCATCCCGAGCAGTAGAACAGGAGCTTCCGATGCCGTAGCAGATTGAACTGCTTGTGGCATTTGTGGTGAGTGAAAAACGTGGATGGAACAGATATGCTCACCAAGGCTGGTCAGTGAGATGGCAAGGGCTCACCTGGAAAAAGCTCACAGCCTCTGTAACGATGACTGTGGCTCTGGGAGGAAGGAGTTCTCTTTGCCAACCTGCCACACAGATCCCGTCCTGCTGCTCCGTGGGTGTCTGAAGATTATTTTGAGCTCAGCATTGGTTCGCCTGTCACTGTGTGACACCTTCTTTCTCCAAAAGAGACCCGGGAACGTTCACCGATTGCACTGTCTCTGCTGGCTTGACAAGAGTGATCCTGGAGTGCTGTTCTGCACATCTTGGAGCAGAGCTGAGGGGTTGTTAACCTGGCTCTGGGATCGCCCATTTGTGCCATGACTCATGGAAGCGACTGTACTGACTTTTAAATAAATGATTGCTGCCTTCTCCTGGGTGTTCTGTGTCCTCACCTGTGAGTGGCTGACACTTGAATTTGTTCCTTATTTCCAGGTGTTCCTCTTCGATGGATCTGATGCATTCAATTGCTGCACGTTCCTCTCGAGCACCTATATCCTAGCAGGGACTCAGGATGGGAACATCTATCAGCTGGATGTGAGAAACACAGAGTGAGTGAGTGCCTGGGGCTGCGAGTATTTAAATGACGACTAGTTTTTTGGCTGGGAAAGAGAGCCAGATTGAGAGTGCTGGTGGACAGTGCCGCTTCTAAAGGGTGGGACAGCCCAAGCCGTGAGCTTCTGAGCCTCTTGCAGCCATTTCTTTCTCTTGGGGAGCGCTGGGGAGGATGCTCTTGGCTTAGCCTTACCTTGCAGATTATTGCTTTTAAAATATATGCATATAAAAATTATGTTCATGCACTGTGCATATTATGTTATATATGAATATCTGGGTGATTATATATAGTCTATGTGTATATACATGTAGATAGATTTAGCAGAAAACTTCTTAACAGCAGTATTCCTCCCACCAAAAGCACAGCCCCTTCCTCTCCTTCACCAGTGAGACTTCGGTGTCTTTGTAGGATCCTAACATTTACCCTGACCCTCGCTCCAGCATAGGACTGGAGCTGCGCTGTCGCTGAAGGCGGGAGCTGTTCTAAGTTGGTTTTGATGAGTGTCAAAGGCGAGCTCTGAGCAGGGGGGCATCCAGACGGTGCTTTTGGGTGGGAGCTGGAGAGGTTGGCACCAAAGTCTGAAGAGTCTTTCACTCTGGATGAGCTCCAAGCTTTTGTCTGTGTCTTGAGAAGGATAATCTGTGTCTGTAACCCAGCATGGAGACTTACTGGTATTCGCCTGCTAGCTAACTCCTTACTCCCACTTTGATCCTTTAGCAACATCTACAGGAAAACCAGTGCTGAATTCCATCTGCTTCTAGAGGACAGACTCTTTGCTAACTGCTGATCAAGTCCCTGTGTCCTCTGTGTTCTCCTCATGTGTCTGTTAACCACGAGCTCGCATTCTTCTGTCAGTGTTTGCACATTGTAATGGGCTCTTGCCTATAGACCATAATACTCATCCCTCGTTTCCGCTCCTTTTTCTAGCACTCCAATCCAGGTCATCCATAGATCAGGAGCACCAGTGCTTTCGCTGCTCCCGTACCGAGATGGATTTATTGCCAGCCAAGGTAACTCAAGTGCTGTGTTGTGCCAGTAGAAATTGTAGAATTGAATCGAGGAGTTTTGGGTATTGCCCTCTTCCATACAGGCTTGTAGAAGAGGGCTGGACAGTGTCCGTCGCCAAAAGGGGATGTAGCAGGAGCTATATTACATAGTTCCTTTTTGCCTTGTGATTTCCACTCCTCACGTCCCCCGTGTTCCTCCAAAATCGGGCCTCCAAGGTGCATCTCAACTCTTAGAGCCTTTTCCCATCTCTCTGACATCCTCATAACACGTTTCCCTCTCCCTGGGGGCTTCATACCCTGTGGACAGGCATTTCTGATGGACCTGTTAGTGCCTGTTTGTCATCAAGAGCATGGCTTGTTTCACTAACTGGCCAATGTTCCTTCCTTGCTGGCTATCTGTTCTGCTCGTGGAGGCGATGGAACCTGCTTTATCATTCAGCAAGACCTCGATTATGTCCTCGATCTCACAGACGCTGACTGTGACCCTGTGTACAAGGTAAGGAACGTGGTATATCGCCCACAATAAAGGGTATAGGGAAGGATGATGCCAGGTAGCAGGCAACTGCCTTTATCTTGGGATTTGGCAGCCCGCACAATGGGTTCCTTCACAAAGTTGACTTTTAAGCCTTTATCATTCAGCAAGACCTCGATTATGTCCTCGATCTCACAGACGCTGACTGTGACCCTGTGTACAAGGTAAGGAACGTGGTATATCGCCCACAATAAAGGGTGTAGGGAAGGATGATGCCAGGTAGCAGGCAACTGCCTTTATCTTGGGATTCGGCAGCCCGCACAATGGGTTCCTTCACACAGTTGACTTTTAAGCTTTTTTTTTTTTCCTACCTGAATAATATTTTGCATAAACAAATCCTCTGCAGTATACGCTGGCGTTATCTCCGTCGTGCAGGAGCAAAGCTGAAGCAGTGCAGTAGTTTGGTTGTTGGAGTAGCTCTGGTGGAACTGTATTTCTGTAAAGAAATGTGAATTAATTCTGCTTGGAGGATCAGTGGGGTAAGAGAAACAGCTGGCTGCATGGTGCTGCCTCTTTTCTCTTGTCCCCTGGTGACTCGAGAGCAGAAAGCGGGTCTTGCTGTTGTGTTTCCAGACACCCCGCTGCACTTGCGCAGATCGGGGAGCATGACCTGGGTTCCCTGAGCTCTCAACCTGCTGGAAATCAGCTCTTTTTTTAACCCGTTCCAGTTCCACGCTCCTGTTCTCCCTCTCCTAGGTAACGCTCAGCCTCACGTGGAGCCTGAGATTTGACCCGCACAACTCATTGGCGTGAGCAAAGCACGGTCACGTCTCCTTTCAGATCTAACAGAAGAACCCTTGTGTGAGCGCTTAGGTGTTCCTGAAGCTCTTGGTGAAACCTCGAACTGTCCTTTAAAACTTGCTAATGCTGTTTCAGGAGGCACCCGTCTCCTCTTCACTCTGTAAAAGTCCAAAAGGAAAGCTTCCATCTCTAAATTAAAGTACCTCAATTTTACTTTTAACTGTCATTTGAGAGATACTCTGCTTAAATACTGCTTTTTCTCCCCCTTTTTTTCAGGTAGCTTCTTGGGAGAAGCAAATTTACACGTGCTGCAGAGACGGGATAGTGAGGAGATACCAACTTTCCGACCTTTAAGTGCTTGATTCGGCCGAATAGCGGAGAGATGTGTCGAAATAGCTCTTCCAAGCTTATTTTCCTGCACAGCGCGTTTGAGATGCGTGTATAGGAGTTTCTGAGGTATATAGAAATTTCTGAGGCTATTGTGATAACTGGGCTCTATACAGAGGTTTTTTGGTGACAGGTAATATTTCTTACTACAACACAACTTGGATCATTTTTAATTTGGAGAGCAGCTCTGGGGTGTTAGGGTCTTGTGTGGCAATGATTTCTTTTTTTCACTGCTGAAAAACTGCTGTTTCTACGGGGGGGTGGGGGAAATAAAATTTTTTTTTGGAGATGGGGGGGGAATTAATTGGAGATGGGGGCTGTGAAGGTGACTGTACCGCAGTGTGGACTGAAATAAAGCAACTGCTTTGATAACACCTGCGCGGAAAAGAATTTTCCGAGAAAACTCTTTTTTTTTTTTTTAAAGGGGAAAAAAAATAAGTGAAAACCCCAAAAAGATAGAAGAGAGGTAATGTAGGCATGAGGGGGCGGCCGGAGCCCGGAAGTGCGCGGGAGAACTACAGCTCCCATAGTGCCCTGCGCGGGGGGAGACCGGAAGTGCCGGCCTGCCTTCCGCCGCGGTGACCATAGCAACGGAGGCGCGGGCCGCCATGGGGCAGGACTACTACGCCGTGCTGGAGCTGGGCCGCGGCGCTACCGACGCCGACATCAAGAAGGCGTGAGGGGTCTTGGCCTTCTGGGGGGAGACCCCCCGCGCACCCCCGGGTTCGGGCACCGCA